TCCCCGTCCCTCGTCCCCCAGCCGGCTGTGAATATCCCGCTGTGCGTGTACGAAGCGTGTGTACGTCCACTGTGTGAAGATCCCTAACTGTCCGGTAAATACTTTACCACGTGTTGTGAAGGTGCACGTTGCGGACGACATTCGACCTCGAGCGACGCCCGCTCGTTTCTTTCTCACTTGCGAATGGAAATTTAGAACTGCCACTTTCACAGATTTGCAATTCGACTCTAGAACCTTAAACATGGGTCAGTTTCGCCCACGTTTGCATTTTCTTGTGCTCGTAATTCCCGGAAAAATTGTTCAAACTTAACTTGTTTCTCTTTTTAATCAAGGTGGGATTCTATTGATATTATTCGCGATTGAATAAAGCTGAAGTGAAATTACAATAAAAACGCAAAACACGTGTTTCTGAGAACGTTTGAAAACGTTGGTCTGTGTAAATTTTACTCATGTTTAGGGTTCTCTAAAATTACTTCCAATTTAACGTTTCCATTCACAAGTAAGTGAAAATTTTTAATTGCACCTTGGATATTAGATTTGGTTTTTATTTTACTTGTCATATACGCGCGCGCGCACATACACACATAACACACACTCAGAAATTGACTCATCAGAGAGACAAGTCTGTACATATCTGAGAGAACGTATATACTTTCGAATCGCGAATGACGAAATTCGATGTAAATATAACACGACCGTGGAGTCTCCCTTTACAGTGTACATAATTGAAAGAGCGATCTGTGCACCTCTCGTGTTGAAACTGTGTCTCTCACCACGAACACCTGGCGAAATGATTTTCACGTTAGTTCACGAGTCTCTGTACCTCGCGAGAGCCCCTCGTCGCACTCTCGCGGTCCTCGCCTCCCTCCCACCCTCCCTTCCTCGCTTCCCTGTAATTAATCCGATCAGCGCGATCGCGTTCCCGTGCGCAATACAGCGCACGTATCGTGAATGTCAGTATCAAATGTTGCTCCACCGCCCCATTTTCACACGAACGAATCCCCCGGTTCTGCCTCTCGATTCTGCCGACTCTTTCGGCCAACGACGCGACAGAGAAACTCGAGCTGCGCGACTCCAGCAAGGGTTCGCTTTCGTCGTGCTTCGCCCACGCTGCAAATTGAGAAAGCTTAGAGGAACGCAGCGAACGCCGAGCTTCTCGAAGCGTAAGAAGCAGGGCTCGAATTGCGATCACGGCGTGAGTCGAGCGACCCTATGGACGCTCGAAGACGACGGATCACGGCGACCAGGGTCTTCGCGCGTCCGTTTCGCGCCCGGAGATCGAGCGATTTCGAGTCCCGCGACTATGAAGGGACCTCGCGACAACACACAGGCGAGATCTCACGCTTGGTGCTAACGCGCTTCTGGCACTGAATGGCTTTCGCGTACGAGAACACCCAGGAGAAGGCCCGCGATTGAGTTTCTCTGTCCGCTCGGGAGCTGAACACGCGTGGCAATACGGTAATGGTAAATGTATGGTGGTTTAGCGGTGGCGGCAACTGGAGGTTCGACAATGCATGCTACATCACCCACAAAAGCCGGTGAGTCTCATACGATCACTTTCTATGTTTCTCTCGTTATAGAGCCCTTTCCTCGTGTTACCATGTATATAAAACGAGATTCTCGAGATCGCGACGCGACATCTATCGTTGCTCTCCGAAACGGTCGCGTGCCGGAGAAGATGAGCGACGCGCGTTGTACGAGAAAAATATGGGAAATAAACGACCAACTGTTGGAGAAAGTTATTGTCACGCTATCTTTTATTAAGTCTACGTAAGATTAATTGAAAATAAACAAACTGAGGTAATGGTTGATTTTACGTTACGATAATAAATGAATCATGTATCACTCGTTGCTTGACTAAAGACGCAAATTGATAATTTCTCGAGCGGGCTGTGCAACGTAAATTCGACAGATTTGGAAATTGAGAAAATTGCGTGAAAAGAGATGTTGTTTTATATAATTGCATCGTTATACGATATCCTCTTAGAGAAAAGTAGTTTCACGTGCTGTGCACCGATTCACATTATCGTCCCCGAGATTACTCTTTTTCTCTTTCTCTCGTTCTTTCTCTCTCTCTGTTTTTCTTTCTCTCTTTCTCTTTTAATCACAAGTTACGACGGACCGCGATATTTGCAAAATTGCACCATCTGCGCACCAATTCATTCGCGAGAGACATGCAAAAGAAAGCAAGCAAAGAATCAACGTTGCACGGTTCCCCACGAAGATCATTCGACTTCTTCTCATCCAGCTTCTCTGTTTCTCTCTTTGCCTGCCTATATCTCTGTCTCCCCCTACCACCCCGTCATCATCGCGACGCTGCACGCGCGACTGCTCACCCCCGTGACCGAAACCTCCGTGACGACCTCGAAACCACCACCACCATCGACCTACGAGCACGACCTCAACGCCCGCCGCCAGCAGTTAGCCCACCCGATCCTGCGATCAGCGTGACCACGAACACGGCAGTCTCGAGCGGCTCGGTGCCGATCGCCACCTCGACGCCGGTTAACCTTGCCGCCGGTCCTCTGAGTCCACCCCCGTTGACCTTGGCCGCCGCTCAGGCTCAGCATCGTGACGAGCATCCGCCGGGGGCCGGAGCCGCCCCCACGGTCAAGGTCACGAGTTACCCGGCCGTGCTGAAGGGCAGGAGCGCGGCCAGTCCGCCGAATCCGAACCTGGTGCCGTCTGGCAAGGTGCCGCCGCCGGTGCCGCCGCGCGGCACCGGCTCCTCGAGGGCCAGGTCCTCCGAGGAGCACCGCGCGGCCGGCCCCGCCTCGTCTACCACGTCGTCGGTGACTTCCAGCCGAGGTGATGAAGCAGCCATTATCACGAGATACCGCTTGCATGAGTGCAGTTCGAGCAACAACCCGCACCACCATCACCAACACCACTACCACCACTACCACCACCACCACCATCACCTGCTCCCACTCACTTCTGACCGTTCCACCCGCGCCTCTACTTCTACCACCGCTAACGATGTGACCTCTTCTACTGTCACTGCCGCTACTTCTAACAAAGCTACCACCGCGACTACTACTACCACCACTACTATCTCGAACGCGTTGCATGCCCTCCGACACCGCCGTGCGCCGACACCCGACACGCACCGCGTCACCACGTCACACCGCGACGTGTGCCGCCGAGACGTCGCCGGCGGCCTGCTGCTGGAACCCATTCGAGACTGGCATGACGGGCAAGAATTCTACGAGGACGAGTTCGTCAGCGTGGAGAAGGTCGAGGACGCTTACTTCATCAAGACCAGTCCGCATCCTTTTAGACCGGATCGGGGCGTTTATCGGTCTGATCGCTCGAAGGGACGACTTGGAGAAGACAGAGAAGCCGGAAATCGCGATGCCTCAAGGAAAGATAGAGACGGAAGAACCGGCACCAAGATGGATCATCTGGCAAAGTTCACGTATTTCTTGAATCCGGGCTCGCGAGCCGACTTAATGAATTACAGGATGTCGCGAAAAGACAAGAAGCACTCTGAGACTTACCACGAAAGAATGAAGAGAAAGCAGAAGGATCTTGAGACGTCGATTACTACGATCACGACCATGTCGTACCGTCAGAAGTCGGAGAATGCGAAGATCACGAGCGCGAAAGACGCATCCATCGACGAACAGACGAAACGCAGGATCTCAAGATTCGCAGTGACGAAGAAGGACAACGCGCTGCTGCGAAAGATCCGAGAGAAATCTAGAAGGAAAAAGCGACTTGCGCCGAAACCATCCAAGAAACTAAACTCCGGAGCTTTCAGTTTGGCAAGTTCGAATGAAGAAACGAAGGTGAAGGAAGAAAGCAAGAGTCCACCTTCGGAAATGAGTTCTCAGAATGATAGAAATTCTCAAGGCGACAGGCAGTCGACGATCAAACGTGTGCAAGCTTCATCCGGACAAGACCATTTCGTTACGAATAATAAATGTGTCGACGAGAAGATGAAGAAGAAGAACGTCTCCGAGAACGCAAGCGGCGAGCAAGGAGACAAGAGAGGTGGCTTTAAAGGAATCTTCCCGAAAAGTTATCACGTTGAGGGTAAAAATGAAGAAATAGTTCGCGAGAGAATCAAGAGGTTTAACCGACAGATCGGTGAGAAATTAGAGAAACGACACGAAAGTAATGAGCAAACTGAGAAAGATAATCCCAAGAGGGTGAGTCCAGATAAATTGCCGAGTACAAGCGGCAAGGAAGTAACCGTCTCCGTCAGTCTCGACAATATCAGAAGCGGGAACAGCGACATGAAGTCCTCCGTTCCCGAAAAGGTGAAGAGCTTCGAGACTTTCCGAAGAAACATGAGAGACGAAGCGAAGAGATCACGACGAGAAGACAGTACGCGATCGTACAGTTCGGAGTACTTCGCTACAGTTAAACAAAAGTTTACATTACCCATCCACGAGACCAAATCGGTTCAAGAAGAAACTAGGATCAAATCGAGAATGGAGATCAACTATGAGAAGCAAACCTTCAAGTCGCTTTCGAGCGGTTACTGCAACGATCTGCCCTTCAGTCCTCGAGAATTCGGATCGCTCGTGCCAAACGTCTCATTTTTGCATACTTATCGGAAGACGCGGTCGTTCACGTAGAGATATCCACCGGTCATTAAGCCCCTATCACACTAGCGACTGACAATTGCGTCTGCGTTGCGTTTGAGTCTACGATTATCTCCTAATCAGTCGGGAAGTAAAGCCCTAAATAAAGAGAAGCGACGATTGAAAATCGGCGGTATATCGAAAAGCCGCCATTTTTCTTCATATTCGACAAACCTCAGGTCTGTTCTTTCTAGCCGAACTGCCTGAACTGGTGCAGACTTGTGCAATAAAGAGCTGGTGAGATTTTTCGTTTAGCTCAATCAGAAAGGAGCTACTGACAATTATGGAGAATAGACGAACGGCTAAACGAGAATCGCGAGCAGCGCGTCTGATCAAGAGACAATCGTAGACGCGGACGCAGACGCAGTCGCTAATCGCTAGTGTGATACGGGCTTTAGTCGCGCCTAGAGTTTGCTTTACGTGAATTTCGGGTCGTCGTATAGAAGCGAGTAATGTAGATAAAAAGAAGAGGAGAAAATGCCTTAAAAGGCATCGATCACGAGCGACTTATGAGAGCCTCGATGATATCGGGTCGATAAGAATTTTTACTCGCTCTTCATCTGTCGGGAAAACAAATGACGATAATGAATACCGAACTCGTGAACTTACAAGGAAGAACCGCAACTTCCACCCGTAATGGACGCAATGTCGCATAGAATGTATACTTTTTTTGCATATTTTTCTTTTTTCGCTCCTTCTATCACCGCTGCATGACGCGCGAGCACGCGTGCTTACGATTTCCTGCGATATCATATACGATCTCATGCGTTAGATTACTTGACGAGATACTTTCGACCTCTCTTATTAAATGCACTATCGCGACATCGTCGACACCGAGGAGGATACGCCCTTAGGATAAGCCGTGTGTCGACCGATAGACGATCTTTTCCGCGACATTGTTGATGTCGGATCAACGTCGATTCTTAAGTATCGACGAGGTATCATGTGTGTGATGTGAAACACTCTTGAATTCCGCTTATCGTGTTAAACGATTCTTATTTAATGGAACCCGTCTATTAGAAATAACTCTCTTAGAGAGCTAGGAATCGCATGCTTAGAGAATTGCAACAGTGGCAAACGCAACGTGAGCAAGCCTGACACGTGTCGTCACGTGTCATGAGACGGAATCTCACTCGCGTTATTGTCATCCTCCGAATCGCTTCCTCCACAATCCTTCTTCTGATTACATTCGTGTAATTGGACGTTTGTCCATTAAGTTAGTTTCACTGTATTTTCTTTTTTCTTGTTACTGGTCGTGCATATATCAAACTGTCCCGAAGAGTTCCTACTTGTATAAGCTACCTGTTAGTGACTTTTCGGTGTTAGAACGTGATGTACGTCCACATCGATGTGCAATGTAAATATACGTTCGTCGTGTCAATATGTGTGTGTGTGTGTGTGTATACAATAATGTGTTTGTGTCGTCGTTTGATATACTCGATGAATATTCCCCAGCTAAACAATTCGATTGCTATCGCGCTTGCGTAAATACATGTAATTCTTTCGCTACGGCGAAAGAAACGTTTATATCTCTAGCATTCTTTAAGAAACCTGCATGTGATGTAAAGTTCGTAGTTGTCTCGACGTTGTCGCGTACAAGTAATGAATTATACGCTGTTGGCTTGCCTGCTGCTTGAAAAATGTTACACTGAGAAAGGAATGCGTAGTATTTGTGTCACGACATTTTTTTAAATTAAATTCTACTATAACGTTAGTGATGATAACTTTATGCATGTTGGTACCACTGTCTTGTTACAAAAATTATGGTTGTGGCCAAAAACGACTGTAATTTTAGTTAGATCAACCATTTTTTCTTCTCTCAGTGTAGAAACGTAACTTTGTACGGAATAATTTCTTTCCAGTTGTGTTCTATGCGCGTGTATAATCAACCGCGCATAGAAATTCTATACAGTAATCTTCACCCTTGTAAATAACAATAGTTGTTTATCATAAGCCTCGTCAACCCTATACATACGTAAGCAGGAGGGTTGATCACTGAGGGCTTCTGCGCAAACACCTCCGTATCGCTTTCAGTTGCATTAAGTGCTGACCGTGAACTAAAGTCTGTTTACGTAAACTTAGGTCAATGCACAAAGAAACTCATAACAAAAGCATGATTATACACGATCCAGCACTTCATATATATTATTTATGAGGTACGAAGTATATATTAAATATTTAATTACAAAGGGGGAAGATTAAAAGAGAAATATATCATTGTACAAATTAATATGTTATCGAAACTTTTATTCCTTTTTCTATGTGCTTTTTATTTACTCAGTTAAATTATAAGAAAATATCTTTACTAATTATTTTATTTAAAATGTGATATGATATATTTGCCTCATATATGATAATGAGTACGGTCCAGCGGGCGCTGCAAATGCTTTGTAGCGTTTTTACTTCTTTCTCTTTCTTCATTCGAATCCGAGGAATAGAACAAGAGGGAGAAACGCTGCGCAGCATTTGTAGCGGTTGTTGGACCGCACCCAATGTGCCTGATCAGGCAAAATTTTTTCTTTATGCGTTGACCTGAGTTTACTGTCACCGACAGACTTCAGTTTACGGTCAGTAAACTTTACTTAAAATATTACGGACGTTTCTGTTTTGTTTGTACAGAGGTCCTTAGAAATTAGAATGAACTGCGATTCATTAGGCACTGCGAATGCTTCGAAGCGCCATTTTGACATTTCTTTAAGCGCTTCAAAGCGTCTAATGGATCGCACCTCGCTACTTTCGTGTGGAAAGCCCGTAACAGTTGAGAAACGATTAAATCTACATGCAAGGCGCTTTAAAGTTCCCATCGATCCAGCTGTCGAATTTTGCACGAACTTGTAAGGATCACGGGATTACTCTTGAAGTACCTTACATATATCGGCAAAGTCGCAGAATATCGTTTTTTTGAATTACAATAATTATAATTCGTTGATATTCGAGCCCTTAATCAGTCTAAAAATCGATATATTAGTCAATTAGTAGATTAATTAATTAACCAAAGTACAGTTTCGCTTATGAATACTGTGCAGAAAACGCATTCAAATTTGGCAATTTTCCTCGCGAGTGCAAGGAGACGATTGTTATTTATATGAAAAAAGTGCTACTCAAAAATGAGCTCAAGAATCACGATTTTTCTGCGGACACGCGTCGCGCTCGCGACACGTGATTCTGCGCCAGAAGCGAGTCCCTAACCGCCGCCCTCGACCCTCTGTCGCCACACTCCATTACCCTTGCCACTTTTACCATATCTTAGCGTTCGATACGCACCCTCGTACGTCAATTAGTAGCTAATTGTAGCGCGCTTTTTGTAGGTGGCACCCTTCCCTCCACCTGCTCCACCCCGCCCCCGCCCTTTGACGATGCAGTCCGCTCGAATGACCAAACCCTGGCTTCCGGTGGTCATCTGCAGCACGGCGGCGCGGCCGCCATTCTCGCGAGCAGCCTGACCTCTGCTCATTCCAAACAAAATAGGGTCGTCCATCACGTTACACTCACCAAGACGTATCACGACACCGTGAGGTGAGTACTGTTCGTCGCGACGATGATTTTCGTCGACGATGAAATTGAGATACCACGACCCTCAGCCGGTAACGCGAATCTGAGGAAGCGACTGTAATTCGCCAGCGAAGTTAATGCATATGAAAATTAAATTGAATTAAATTATATGGCCCTTAGATATAAAATCCAGTTATAATAAAATGAGAAATAGCGTGTAAAAGCCAAGGCACAGGTGTAAAAATGCAAACAATTGGAATCACCTCAAATGTATTATACAAGTTAAACGTTTGTATAATATATTTGAGGTGATTAAAATTGCTTGCACTTTTACACCTGTGTCTTTTACACGCTATTTCTCATTTTATTATAATTTAATGCGTACAGTCGCGTGGTTTTTTTTATTTTGTTAGTGGAAATGCGACACAACTTTAGAAAATGCGCGTTACCGTTTGACGGTCAGCAACGTAATCGATAATCTAGCTTAAGTGACTATACACCAGTGTCGGGAATTAGTCGACGGAAATGTTCTTTGGTTAAAATGATCGGCGAATCAATCATCAAAATTAATCAATCGTATGTGTAATCACAAGTAATTTGATCGATTGATGATATTATCGGTCAGTATATAATCGATCACACAAAGTTTGATCAATAGCTAATTTCATCGCTCGATGAAATTGTATGTGATTCTATATAACAACATCCAAAAGTTACGTAAACTCTAAAAGTGGATAAATTTTACCCAATGCATTTTCATTCACTTACAAGTTCCGCAAAAATGATCAATTTTAACAAAAATATGATAAATTTAATAAAATTCGAATCTTAATATCTTTGCGACTCAATAAAGTCGAAAAAACAAGATACATTTCTTTTTAGAACAGCAACGCTCAAAAAGTTGGTCTGGGCAAAGTTTACTCACGTTTAGAGAAAGTGATTTCAGGTTAATATTTGAAGGATCGATTTCCCGATTATTATAGTCGAAGATGATCTTTCTAAACCGACTAATGCCCAACGCTGCTCTACACTCGCGCATCTTTCGTTGAACGTTATTTAATCTGAACCTGACATATGTTATATTTTTTACGCTTACCCTCACGCACACTTTTGCACGCATCTAAACGAAAACGTGTTCGCTTTATCACGGCAACTTCAGGAAAAGGAAAATGTTAGTATTTAATCGCACACATCGTCAGTATATACCCACGTCTTGCCGACCCCGAGCTGAGCCGTATTAAATTCGCAAATGAAATTCGTCCCATCCAGCATATCGGACGTGCATTTGGAGAGTAGCGGCAGCGGCAGCGGCAGCAGGGAAACCAAGTCGTCGTTGAGCGTCGAGAGCGGCGGCAGCAGCCGCGGTGGCGGCGGTCTCACGTGGACACCGCCGGCGGGGAGCGCCGAGGGCTCGACCCCCACGTGGACGGAGGGCACGCCGTCCTTCACCGAGAGCTCCAGCAGCGGCGACATCGGTAAGTTGCTGTACGCGCTCAACATCTACTACGGCACGTAAGGACTCCCGTGCCGACGACCGGGCGATACGCGACCGACGAATCGACGTCGTGAACCTTCCTCTTCTCTCAGGTGCACGGAGACAAGTAATTTTGCTCTTTTAAAATCGTCGTTGCTACTGCGTAGTAACAGCAAAAAGATTTAGTTAACGTAACTAATTTTACAAAGTATTCGTTATCAGAGCAGAAGTAGTTTCGTTGCCACACGGAAAAAAAAAGGTTTGGTTCGAATTAATCAAATATCTGATCGAATATGAACGATCCAGAAATTTAGATTGAAGTAACTGCGAATTCTGTTTAAGTTAACAAGATGTTTGATTGACTTAAATAGAATTCGGGTTACTTCAATCGGAATTTCTGGATCGTTCATATTCGACCAGATATTTAGTTAATTCAACCGAATCTTGTTTTCCGTGCAGGAAAAAAATTTGTTAAGTGTATTTGTCCTACACAAAAAAAATAATTTACTGCAGCAGCAAACTAATTTGCTACATACAGACAGTTAAATATAATTCGTTGTGTTAGCTTTTTTTTGTTGCAGGAACCTATTTTCTTGCTATGATAACGAGAAAATTTGTTCCTACAGCAAGAAAATGGTTAACGTAGCAAATTTCTTACAGATAGATAAGTAAACATAATTTACTGCTTTAGCTACTTTTTTGTTGCAGAAGAAAATTTTCTTGTTATCATAACAAGAAAATTGACTCCTACAGCAAAGAAAAAGTGGCTAATACAGTAAATTATGTTTAGTTATCAATATGTAGCAGATCTTTTTTTTCCGCGTAAGAATCACGTTAATTTGCTATTGATGCAAAATAATGTATCCTTAGCAAATTTATTTGCTATTAGAGCAAAACTGCAACTGTTCATATAAATCCATCATGGTTTTTACAGCAAAATAATTTGTAGATTCAGCAAATTATCCAGCAAATAGTGATCATTATTCTTAACAAATCTTTTTGCTGTCCATATAATAGCGAAAAGATTTTGCTAGACTAGCAGAAAATTTGCAAAACTAGCAGAAAATTGGGCCAGCAAATTATTTTTCTCCGTGTATGAACTCGTGAAAGGTGAACATTTCCTTTCAAGTTAGAGAATTTTTATTCTCCACGAGCTTATTCCGGAGGAAGAGGTTTATGATCGTTCCAGAACGTCGATCTATTCCTCGGTTACAGAGAATCCTGTAGCAATTTTTACCGTGACATTCTCTCCGTGTAGAGAGATGCGGTTCTCCGGTGTCGTCTTGCGCGCCCTCTCCCGCGCTACTAATTAATTAATCATATCGATAAGAGCGATACACATCGGCTGAGTAGAAGGAATTATAATCGATCGATATTACACTCGAAAAAATGTTCTGCTGATCCTGGTAGAGTTCTATAAATGTCACAGTTAAATTTATCGCTGTTTCTTGTACGTGCTAGAAAATCGTCTGTGATACGTAGAATTTATAGCAGCGGCGTTCTAGCAATATCTATAAGCAAATTTAGGTGAATGTGAGGATGAATGTTGTACATTTGTTTCTCTCGTAGCTAGTCTTTTTCGTCTACTATGGTCAATTTTTGTAAGAAGAGACTTTTTTGTTAAATTTTGTAAAGAGTTTAGACAGAGGTTTCGTGTCAGTCATCTGCATTGATTAATTACAAAATATATGCGATATCGCAGAGTTTACCAGCCACTTATTCATCTTAGCTAATTTCTAAATAATTCTCAGTACGACTGCAAGAGCATTTTTTTGAGTGCGTTCTATCTTTAGTCTTGTCTAGCTTGAACGAAACTTTGTCATATAAGACATCTGATAAAGTTTTGCGACAGTGAGAGGCAGAGGACGACAATAAAGGAGAAGAGAATGAAAAACTAAAACACTAAACCTCTCTCTATCTTTCTCTCTCTCTTTCGTAACTTCTCATCAATCCTCCTCTCGCCTGTACGCGCCGACTCGTTGGTTTTTTCTTTCCAATTTTCGTGTTCTGTCTTCTCCGAACTTTCATCCACGACGGGACTCGCCCAACGGGACCTCTGGGCCACGAGATAAGTTCCGGTATCTCCGTGTTTTCTCTGTCTTGCATATCTTTCTCCGCTTATGTTGGAGCGCACCACGCAAGCCACAAACTGACTTACACACGCTTGTATCTCATATGTGTCACGTCACGGACACGATTTGTCCAAAAGCGCACGATGTTTTCACGCGTCGACACGCGCCGTTCGCAAATTCGCGAAGACTTGCGAAAGCGCGAGAAAGACACCGACACTGCAAAAATAAAGCGACTTACGTAACGCCGAGACTTCGAGCTCGTGCGAAGTTTCGTGTTCTCATTTTCGCGTCGCGATGTCGCCCATCGGAGGTTTCTCAATCTCTCACGGAATTCCGAATGTTCCGGAGACCCTCCCGACGTAATCGACGTAATCGAACTAACTCGGAAACCGCATTGTTGTCGCTCTCGCTCGGGATGTACCTCTTCTCTCGCCTTGTTCGTTCCACTGGCCAGTTTCCATCAGGCCGAGCGATACCTTCTTTTGCACCATGACGATTAACGGTTTTAGGTTGCCCGACCACGCCGATCAAGGGTAATCTGCAGCAGGACGACGGCGGAAGGATCGCGGCCACCGTGGAGGAGGCGCTAGCGAGTCTCACCACCGAGATGGTAAGTCCTCACTTGTTTCACTGACCGATCGGACACGAGAGAAGGTACGGCCGAGGTAAACGGACGATCGTGTTAATATTCCTGCTTTTAATGTACAGAGTACGTCCGGTAGCTTGCGTCGGAGCCGCGATGTGCATAGACAGATCAGTTCAAAATGAGCGAAAGATTTCTCCACTATTTCTCGAAGAAATAAAATAAAATTTTGTGTTGTTAATTGAAGAAGATTGACGAATAATCATGTGCAATACGACGGATGAGTAATGATAGCAACGCCGACAAACTGAACAAAAGAATCCTTCATCATTTTGTAAATAACCACGTAGGTTTTTAGTGATCAATTAATTAAAAGATATCATCCGTCAATTTTCTCTGAATAACTCTACGTATTATTTGCAAAATGGTAGAGGACTTTTCCGTTTCACTTGGTCTATAAACACAACGGCAAGCGTCGCGGTCACAACGCACCTGCCGTATCGCGCATGATTATTCGCCAATCTTCTCTAATTAATAACTCAAAATTGTATGCGGTTCTTCGCAAAATGGTAGAGGAATTTATTGCTCATTACGACCCGATCTATCTGCACATCGCGGCTCTGACGCGAGTTACCGGACATCCTGTATATTACCGATTAATTATTCCTGATATTTGCATCGGCACGCATTACTACGCGTCGTTCGCTAGTTTTCTAACGAGGAATTGCCGATTTCAAGCCGTATGAGAAAACGCCGAAGTAAACAGACGATCATATAAATGTTTCTGCTTTTAATGTTCCCGTTGTGTCGTTACTGACATACGTGCAATTGCATTTACACGCACTACTACGCGTCGTTCGTTCGTTTTACCATTAAGAATTGCCGATTTCGTGCCACGCGGGAGAAGGCCGAGGCAAACGCACGCGATCACATTTAATATTTCTGCTTTTAATGTTCCCGTTGTGTCATTACCGATACGTGCAATTGCATTTACACGCGCCACTACGCGTCACTCGTTGATTTATAACGAAAAATTGCCGATTTCAAGCCGCGCGAGAGAAATGGCCGAGGCAAACGGACGGATTGACCACTCCTGCTTTTGATACGTCATTCTTGATACGTGCAGTCGCATTTACACGCGTTTCTGCACTCGTCGCTCACTCATGTCGCAATCGAAAGTGGTCGATTTAAGATCGCAGGAGAAGATACGGCCGTGGCAGACACGGTTGCGTTTAATATTTCGGCTTTCAAAATTCCCATTGCGTCATTATTTGACATTTGCAATTGCATTTGCGCTTGTTGCGTCGTTCCACGCGTTCCGCAACTGCAAATTGCCGCCTCGAAGTCACACGAGACCACAACGATCATCGATGATTTCAAGTTAATTACCACGATCGGAGGGGCGCCTTCGCGAGGATATTATCACGATCGTCAATTGCGGCGGCTGTACGTTTCCACGAACAGACGATTTATACGAGATGGTAAGTTCGCTGTCGCCAGTGGCCGATTGACCGGGCTGTTTCAAAATGCGCGTGTTTCCCTCCACCACCCCCTCGTGATTGTTGCATAATAACACAAAACCCCAAAGAACGGCGACCCGGTGCCTCACGAAAGTCGCTCCCGGCGAGCCTCCTCCCCCTCGTTCGCGCGAGTACCCCTGGATTTTCAGGTATTCTCGTTGAGAAACCGAGTGCTCGCGATCCGCATGGAGCGTCCCAAGCCGAGGTACGATCGAGAGCGTAAATGTTGTTTCGTTGCGAAGTCGACCTGAGGACGCGAAAATGACGCCGCCGTCGATGAATTCCTGAGATGCCTTCGCGCCGAAAAACTCGCTTGCTTGCTCGCTCGCACGGAAAACTTGGTCGCGCTTTATTGGAAGGTTAAAACGGCCTTCTCGACTCGGCAGGATCGACGAAACGCGAAAATATGCGTGTACAGACGTGTCAGCGCGATTCGCGCGCTCGAGTGGTCTCTGCCGCCTCGGGGGAAGCCGCGTCTCTCGCGCGATATCTCGCGAATATCGGTTCTCTCGGACATCGACGGATTCCGACGATCTCGTGATCTTTCCCCAACGGAGGTAAGCGTCGTGGGCTGCGCGTGTGTTCGTTGAGGTTGAGCGGGAGGAAGCAACGTGTCTCTCGCATAATCGTCTATGAATGAATATTAGAAGACTTGCTGTCGATCCCGAAAGAGTGACAATTAGAAAGAAAGACAGGGAGAGCGTGTGAGCCTGCAACTCGCTCTCCCCTTTGCTGCTGAGAGTACTACGGACTTTTCTTAGCTGATGCAATTCATTCTGACAGAAACGAACGGCCGCTTTGGAACGCTCCATGCGAGAGAGTCAGACTGTCTGAACGCTTTGTCTATTTCCCCCTGAATCAGGAGATACTGCAGCGCGAGTGAAATTGCACGGTGTCCTTCCGCACACTAATCTCCGTCATCTCGCAACGTGCAACGTGGATGATGATGATCTGCATCGTCGTAGCCGCGACGAGTCTCCGAGAGAACGAGAGAGATTGAGAGAAAGAGAATGAGAGAGAGAGAGAGAAAGAGAATGAGAGAGAGAGAGAGAGAGAGTGCGAGCGTACGAGCGAGTGAATGAATGCGACGGACAAGGAGAATGTTTACGAGTAGCGAAGTGTGCGCGTGTGTGTGCGTATGGATTAACCCTTGACTGGTCGGAGCGGATCGCTAATAATCATGCTAATGTGTACGCTTCTAACGGCCGCTTGATAACGTCGATTTTGCTTTGCAAGTTTCCTGTCAATGAGGCAGTATGGCTGCAAAACGCTGAGAATGACTAACTTTCGTGCGGGTTTCTCTAACACGCTTGAATTCGTCCAAAATTAGTTCTCATTCTGTCGCTTTCTGTCATCGTTATTCCGTCAACGATATTTCATGATTATCTTTGATTTGGCATTCAAAGGAAGGAAGGAGTCTCATCTTCAGCGGAAATTATCTCGAGAGAATTTTTCTAAAACTAGAAGAAAAGTATTCCAAGCACAGTATTCTTAAAGTTAAAGGAATCTCGTTTCTCATCTCCGGTACGAGTGTTGTTCTTAGAATAGACATTTCTTCAAATAAAACTCTACTTCATTCCGCTTTAACATGTTCCTCTTGATTCAAAAGGAAAAGAAGAATAACATCTAGTAAATTTCCGATAGTCCACTCCATTAGAAGACTCTTTTGGTAGACATTTTTGTTTAAAATATGGAATTATATGAAATGCAACCTAAATTTTTTTTTGAGGATGAAACATTCTCTTTTCAGAAGAATCTTCTTATGGGGCGTATATACAAGATAACTTCCGCTGAGAATAAGATTATATGAATGTTTTGGGGTCAAATATCTCCTAATTCTCTCTTCTCGTCTTGATTCCCCGATACTTGAATTACGCGAATAGCTGAACGCTTTTCATTGATTATTCAGCGAATAGCTGAACGTTTTTCATTGATTATTCAGTGCTTCTTTGAGAACTTTCTCTATTGTAAAACACCCCACGGGCATATTCGCGATTACGTTCGGTCTCTTTAGCCGACTACCTTATCGCATTACTTAAGGGTTCAAAAGCGCAGGGTGGTATTGGACGACGAGCTAAGTTAGGTTAGCTCTATCGAGGCGAATACACGCGTGTTTCACCTGTCTGCCTGTCTGTCTTGGATCGAGATCGCAATAACAATATCGATCGTTGCGTTCGGACGACGCGCTCCTGTTTTATTCCTGGCGAAACGTTTGTACTTAATTTTTTCGCGATTTTCACGGCAGTTAACTGAGACGTTCGTCTCGATCTGCGACTTTGCGTACTCGTTCGTTATCAGCGTGTATAATCTATACACACACATACACCTCTACACACGCACACATTGAGCGTGGGGCGATTATCTCACGCGTGTTATCCGCGACGTCGCGGCAACACCTTCGACATATGGGCATCCTTAAATCTTCCTGGGTACAGGAGAGTCAATATCATTACATAGTTACATATTTAGCGAGAACGTGATAATCGTCGGCCTACAGTACTCGATAACGCTTTCGACATTGCTCGAGATCGACCCGGCAAGTGGATGGAGTGCCATTTTTCCGGAGTAAAAGTTCTCACGCGAGGAGAAGTGTGTCGCTTTGCCATTCGGCTCCGAAGAGGACTGTTAACGGCGCGATTATATATTCTCTTCCCAATCGCGTACGCAGAAATAAGAGACGAATCATTGATCGCGTAGGAATATTTAAGTTCTAATGTTCCCGAAAGATCTCGTCTGTATTGAGCGCGGTGTCGGGAGTTTATGTTGAGGAGGCAACTTCGCCCGATTCTCCTCTCTTGGTGGCATTCCTTCGTGGCGTTTCTTCGGCCATTATAAAGGAAAACTGAACTTTGTAAGCCCTTAAAGCCGAGAACATATCCCAAGAAGAAACTTGATAGAATCATTGAAATAGAATCGAGAAATTTATCTCAAGCAAAGGAAGAAAAATGATTAATCGTGGAAACTCGAGAATTCCCTGGCGAATCGACGACATGCGGAGAATTTTGCGAGCGAGAAATGGCATTTCATTCACTTCGTGGTCGTTTTCGCGCGTATCCACTGCTCGCACATAACTCATGCGTCTTTTCCTAATCGAGTCATCGCCGTCGATAAAACCGATATCGTAAGTTCCACACGCACGCGAGCGTACGTGCGTGCGGCGTAAAAGCCGTGTAACATACGGGACAAGTGTCGCGCCTTGTGTGTGTGTGAGAGATTACACGGCGACGCCGACGAAACGGCTGTAAATAAAGTAAATTGCTTGCGCATAGTTCGGCTAGGAGAGGGCCCGCGATTCCTTTTCAATTGCGATATATACATATATACATAGTTATTGTGTCATATGTACTTGTATCTATATGTGTCTCACGTTCTGTCTGTCTCTGTGTGTGTATGTATGTACCTATATACATACGCGCGATTACGTATACGCACGCGCGCAGCGCGCGTGCGTGTACACATATGTACTATGTATACATATTATAAATACGACGACGTGCTTTCGCAACGTCTTGCGAACGTCCCGAGTCGTTCCCCGCGCAATTCCGATGAACCTCGCGGATCGTGAGCGCTTTTAATAAGATAAAGTGAGAGAGAAGAAAATAAGAGGCGCGTGCTCGGGCCACATATCGCTCCGCCACTTGCAGCTCGACGAGAACTCGTGAAATCGATTTGATACATTCACGTGGCAATCGCGACGTGTGTCAGGGGATGATCCTAACGGAAGAACGGTTGAGACAAAACTCGTCATTCGTCTATCTTAACCCTTCGCGTACATGTCCAATCCGTGAGACATGATATCGAGAAGTCCGGGACAATTTTTAAACCTGTTTGCAGATTCTGACCTTGTCGCGCTACTGCCTTACAGTCGAGGCTTTTCTATATCACTGAGAGAAGCATGTGTGTGCAGAAATATTAATTTTCAACAAACTCCAAAAAGTTAATCAAAGAGTTACAGTAAACCTACCCAAAAGGTACATTCCGATTTCTTTCTAATTTGGCACAAATGTAGAAGTACAAAAAATATTTAGGTCATATTTTTTCATTTCGGCTCACTTTGAGCTTCACAGGCAGTTTATAGCTTTTTAATGTTCTCACTCCTATTATCAACAAGTGCAACAAAAATGCATAAGAAATAAAATTGAATACAAGATATAGGCGTTTTGAGTTTGCTGATTATGAAGTCAAATGTGTAAAATTGTTTATATAAATGATAAAATGTTTAAACAACACATGCAAAATTTGAAACAAAAATTATTTATACAAATAATTTCTCAGTTTGGCCGAGATTCGAACTATTTTTGACTAATTTAGCACATATTTGCAATATTTCGGTTGGAATCTCGGCTAAAGAAATTTAGAATGGTATCAGTTATACCGATTTTGTTAAAATTTTAATTAAAATTGCCGAATTTTTCGGTTTAGCCGAGATTCGAACCATTTCTTACTAATTTAGCACATATTTAAAATATTTCGGTTAGAATCTCGACTAAAGAAATTTAGAATGGTGTCTCAACTATGTCGATTTTGTTAAAATTTTAATTAAAGTCGCCGGATTTCGGTTTGGCCGAAATTCGAATCATTTTTGACTAATTTAGCACAGATTTAAAATATTCGGTTGGAATCTCGGCTGAAGAAATTTAAAATGGTTCGTGTCTCAGCTATGCCGATTTTGTAAAAATTAAATTTTATAAAAAATTTATTTAACTATTTATTTTAAATTTATTACTATTACTATTTATTACTATTTATTTTAAATTTATTTAACTATATCTTGCATTCAATTTTATTTCTTATGTATTTTTGTTGCACTTTTTGATGATAGAAGTGAGAACATTAAAAAGCTATAAATTGCCCGTGAAACTCAAAGTAAACCAAAATGAAAAAACATGATCTACATATTTTTTGAACTTCTACATTTGTGGCAAATTAGAAAGAAATCGGAGTGTCCCTGTTAGGTAGGTTTACTTGTCAGATTGTACTGCGTGTCCCGAAAAGTAAGATTGTACGCGGAGAATTAAGAGTGTCTTTCAACGCCGAGCTTGTCAACATCCGACGATGTTAATTCCTCGCGGCGCGACTTCTTTCTGGCACGCGGGGGAAGAGAGTGACCATAGACCGATGCAGATGAGCTACGTGAAGTAAGAGAAATGCTCAGGTTGCCCGAAATTAATCACAGAAGCGTGGGAGATTTGTTGGATGACGTAGCGCGGCGTAGCAATTGCAAGTAGGGAATCTCGTGGACGACAAATCCGCGGGTCGGTTCATCGGGAAATCGCGGGACGCTCGAGGAAACAAATGTCGCCTTGCCGGTGCTGTATTATACATGACACGACACGATGAGACGAGGGAGCACGATCGCGGCGAGGCAAGGTGGACACTCACAGTGCCGTGTACGTACAATATTCCGTAATGGCAGAGCATCCAGATGTGTGTAATCGCATTGCTATAAATTAGCACGTGAGAGTTATCGCGAACGTTTTGAAAAAGGCCAAAATGTTGTTCAATCATACATATAATTATGATTACTATTACTATTATTATATCACATCACGATAAAACGCTTCTGACAGTCGGTGTGTGACGTTTGTAATTTAGCGGTAAAATCTCGCCTTTACCGTGGATGCAGATTTTACTGTCGAGAGAGAGAGAGAGAGAGAGAGAGAGAGAGAGAGAGAGAGAAAGAAAGAGAAAATAGCTTCACACAGGTAGCTTTGTTAAATACTCGGTACCCCTCCCTCATCCTCGCGCGGGTATCGTTCTACTATTACTATTACTACTACTATTACTATTATCGTAATCGTTAGGATTCAGATCCCGCGAGAGCGTATTCCGCAATGTTAGCGACTTCGAAAGTGTGATATTTTTTTAACATATCCCCGGGATATATCTGATATAATCTGTAATGTGTCTCGGAGTCGAGAGGTTGGCGCATTGTAATAAGCTCGATCGACTCGCGCGAAAACATTCAGGGAGGATTCGAATCGTCGCGAGGGTGGAACGAGTAAGAGAGAAAGAGAGAGAGAAAGAGAGAGAACGCGCGCGTGCGTTCTCGAAGCGAGACGAAAGAGATATGAGATGCGGTGTGTTGCTTAAATAAAATAACGAGATTGTCCTAACACAATGTGTGTGTGTCCATCTCTCTGTTAAAAACAAACAAAAGAAGAAGAAAGTTGCTTATAGTTTCGTAGTCTCCTCGTTTCCTTCTTTCTTTGTACCTTTTCATGTGATTTTCAGCGGTTATCGTGTGTGGTGAATTTTCTCGATTAACACACCGAGTCTCTCCCCCCTTCTTCTCCCCGCTTCCGAAACGCCGACGTGTGTCACAACGGCGGATTGTCGCTCCTGTGTGTGTCGTGTGTGCTTGCGCAAAATTCTACGTGGAGAGTTAGTTGCCGCGATTACCCGAGTTCGTTGTCAATGTGCTTCGCCGAGTCACTAGTTTTTCGGCTGTTTTCTCCGCGCCATTGCACAATTTTCGTCGATGAGGCCCACCGGACACGTGCATACCCGCCATATACGCGACACTTTACGTGCGATACTTTACGTTCTCTTTAACATCCGTTCTCGCTACACTCTCGACCGCCTCGTGTAATTTATGATAGCTATAAAGCTGTGTTTCGCGAAACGCTTCACTCTTATTGCTGCAATACGGATTTGAATTGTCATAACTCGCGAAGATGTTTCATATATTCGAATATCGAATCGAGATTTACGGGATCGTGGTCTTCAAACTGACACAAATGATTCTTAGTGAGAAGATTCTTAGATTCCTGGATTTCTAGGAACGATATTCATAGTCAGATCGTATGTTTAGGATCGTCTTAGGTTCATCCTGAGACACTGTATGGGTCATTGGTTACGGAGAGAGTATCTGAAAATGAACTCAAGACAATCTTAAATATAAGATAGGACTGTGAATACTGATCCTAGATTCTTAGGATTATATTAATAGTCGTCACTCGAAACTTGTCTCACGCGAAATATTCAGATTTACTAAGTATTAATTCAGAGTTAGATCTGAAGCGCTTTTAGTTAAATTATATATACGACACTGGAGACTATTTGATGCTGCAAACACTTCGATGAACCATATGGGCCAATCTTTCTTTATGCACTTCAAAACGTCTTTATAGATCTAAAAAAATCTAAATCAGCCGTAGTTATGCAAGAATGATCCAACTCACATCAAGTACATTTCGAGAAAAATAAAGATGAAAATTTGATATACGATTTGAAAGGTATAGATAGTACTGAAATTCTTCGTGATTATTCAGCAAGTCAGGAATTTTCCTCTCTTTATTGAAAGTGAGTAAAAAGACACAGCTATATATAGTAAAAAATAAAAGCTATTTTTTAATTAATTTCAGGTGCCCATAAGGCTTGTATCTTTCTTCTTTCATGTAGAAAGACGCATAGACTACCCATCAGTAAAAGAAAAATTTTAAAGTCACATAATCTTATAAGTTGGATCATTCTTGTAACTATAACATAACTGTGGTTAATCCAGATCTGAATGTTTCATTCGAAACAAGTTTCAAGTAGCAACTGTCAATACAGGCCTTAGAGTAAGCGAACCTATTTCGGAACAGCACCTATTTCAAAACACTTTAATTTTTTCCCTGTATTAGCCGTCAAATAATATCAAATTTTCATGTTGGTAACAAAGAACATGTTCTACCCATGGACTACCCATCATTCAAAAGATATAGAAGAATTTTTCTTTTACTGAAGAAAGAACATGTTCTTTGTTACCAACATGAAAATTTGATATTATTTAACGGCTAATACAGGAAAAAAATTAAAGCGTTTCGAAATAGGTTCGCTTACTCTAAGTATTCGGGAAGATATTCACACGGTGCTTCACTTTAGACGGGAAAGCTCGCGACAACTCGACAGGCGGCGGACGTAAGTGAGAAGTCTCTACAACGTGTCTTTCTGTGTCCGAATGATTCAGAGACGAACCAGCCAAGACGGGCAGCACGAATTGGAGCAAAGCACGTCCTTTTCGTTTTACCGTCAGATCAGGACGAGCCTGAAACGCGGTGGCACGAATCACGTCGCGATCATGAGGAGCATGCAAAGGGCATTAAACGTTCGACGCCGGGCACCATGACGCACGCAGAGTCCCACCAATCAGGACCGATCTAGAAATTACGATCATTGTTTATACGTGCAATTTTTCACACGTCCAACAGATGTGTCTCGAGACCGCCTGCACGGCGAATCGAAAATCGAGTCGAGAACTTCACAGATCTGAGATCTTATGACCCAGTTACGTCGAAATCGTGCAGCACACACGACGTGTTGCGAATTGCAATTAATAATCTTGTCACGAAGTGACACTCGCGAAAGTAATTTTCAACGTGAAATGCAATTGATAGAGAATATCGATCGATACATGTATATTGACTAACATACCCGAGTCAAAATGTTGGCTCTACGTTGATTCTGCGAGTTTCACGAACTTTCAAACTTGAAGGGTTTGTCCTGGATTCCCGACTCAGCATCCTGGTTCCTCCGCGTACTCCTTTGTGACACTGACACTATACAGGTATGACGATTCGATCGAGGAAGCACGTGTTAAATAACGCGACGCCGACGCGCGAGAGCCCGACGAAAATTGTAAAAACCTGATCGGTGTACGCTCTTAGATTCAGTCAAGTTTCCAATCACAGATCCACGAATTTTACGGTTAGTTACAAGGCAGCTTTCTCTGCTGAACGCAGCCAATAACTCTGACATGAGGAAGTACGCGACTTACTAGAGCAATAAACACAAAGGACAAAAACGACGACAACTTTCATCCCTTCTCCTTTCCCAACCATCGTTATGTCGCTCGCCGGCTCGAAACACAATGGCTCAATCATCGAAAGATATAGAACACACACGACAATACCATATACAATAGGACAAAGGATAAAAACGTCTGTCATCGAAAGTAGTAGTCTGCTGCCCAATGACGCCAGCATAATCCGGGAGTTGACGCTCTCAAAACATTCTCATATTGAGTTTGTCAACACCATTTTCTCGTTCCTTTGGAGAATTATTGTGGCCAAATCTTCGACTCTTTAAATTCCCATCAATGTGAACTGTTGTAGAGTCCCGTATGGGGAAAACGGCATAAAAAGATATTTTGTGTTGAAGTCGATTCGTATCGAAATTTTTGCGTTAAATTTTCAACACATTTGTGCGTTCATTTAATCATCATTGTGTCACTTCGACTATTTCGCGTTAAGTTCCTACTCATCACATGCAGAACCAAAATTTCGAGTCGGTTAATGACGTTTGCGGTAAAGTATCGCGAATGTACGCGACGATCCTCTAAATAATGACCGCGTCATGCGTATATTCGATGACTTTACGGTTGTTCTCGTTATAATTATTCTCCATTTATCGTCTAGCTGTGATGACGATGCAATTAAGACGCATTTGTAAACCTCGGCGAAGTTAGAGTGGGAACCGCGAGGGACAAACCGATGAGAGTGATCGATGTACTTAGGAGATGCTTCACGATTCTCACATTCAGTGCCGATACATTTCGCAAACTTGACCTTAAAGAAGTATAAAAAGAAGAAAAAAGCAAACAATAAACGAGATACTCAGTAGGAGAACCACAGGCGACATCGCGTTCGACATTATTTCCGCCCTCCGTGCTTTCTCCCATTTCGCCAGAGACGAAGGAACGATAATCGCTGAGAATTCCAGTGTTTCGAGATATATTCCCTTTTTCTGTTTTCGTTCGCATTGATCGTGCTGGGCGAATCTGGCGAGACAGACAATTCCGCGTGAGTCTCCTTCAACTTCTGCGGATTCGGTCGTTCAGTCGTGTCGTCTCGACGAGATTCTTTTGCCTTTCGGTACTGCCTGAATTTTGTCCGTCTCTTTACGTAATCCGATAGTCCGTACGAATATATTAATTATTCGTTCTCGCCCGAATTGAACTGTACATACGGGGGCTCTCCACCCGAATCGCGATCTCCAAATCGAATCCTTAGGTACTACCACTCTCTTTTTCACAATCACTAATATTAGGGTAGGTCTGTGGGTATACTTGGATCTAATTTGTGGTAGTATCTAACGATTAACGATAGCGCGACGATAGAGCCCAACGTTCTCTCGTAGTGATTCAATCCGCGATCGGCTGGCATCGCCTTCGTTATCGTTTTCGCGATCAATCGAATCGCTTACTGAGCAGCCGGTGAATGTTCCGTTTCGCGAACTCTCTCGTGCACGTTATCACGTAGCGAGAGAAACGACGTATCATTGTGTGATACATAACGATTCGTATTTCTGGGTTTCTCCTCATGTCTATAAGATAAAAGTACCAATGCCTGGACACTAATAAAACGCTGATACTTAGCTATACTTCAATCGTAATTCTTTTCATTTAAATCGAGTATTGTTTACTCAGTTTAAGTAAATTTTGATTTAAGTAAATATATTAATAATATCCACCTAATAAATTTTTTTTCAGTATATATATATATATATATATATAGGGTGTCCCGTCACTACCGCATTATTTCTTAAGGGCGGATTCTTGAAGTAATTTGAATAAGAAAATCCTAATACAAAAATGGCGAAGCTATAATACCTTTCAAATTATAAACGATTAAAGTTGACCAATTATACTGACAATAGTACGCGCGCTCAGGTACAACACACAGTGGTACAGGTGCATATACATGTCGTCCCTTTTCCAAATATTGATACGGAAGTTCTATACATACAACAACGTATGTAACAATAATCTGCCTTTTCTATCATTTAAATAAACATCGCAAATAATAATAATCTTGTCAAAATGTTATGAATAAAATATCACACAATACATTTATGAGAATCAGTAAGCTGTCACACATTTGACGTTTCTTTCAGGGATTTACAACTAATTTCATATCTTATGCAAATTCTCACTTATGTGCATGCACCTGTACTATTGTGTGTTGTACCGTACTTGAGCGCGCGTATTTTAGCCAATATAACTGGTCAACGTTTAATCGTTTATAATTTGAAAAGTATTATAGCCTCGACACTTTTGCATTAGGATTTTTTTCTTCAAATTACCTCAAGAATCCGTCCTTAAGAGATAATGCGGTAGTGGCGGGACACCCTGTATATTCGGTATTAAACGTTAAAATATTGGTATGTTTAAAGACCAAAACAATAAGAAGTTTAGAGTTATTAGTGATCAGGCATTTTAGTACTTTTATCTTAGGGGTATTTGCTTTGTTCTCGCACGTCTTCTACAATTTCTTCCTTTTTTACTATTTGTCTCCCCCTCCCGGATACATCGGCCCATCGGCGACTAAAAAACAATACGTTTCTTGAATACTCCGATGAAATTATACATATATGTATAGTATGTATCATATATATATATATATATATATATATATATATATATATATATATATATATATATATATATACACTTTTGGAGAGAATTGGGGATGGAAGTTGTGTTGTGAAGAATCACATATACACAAAACCACATATACTCATGCATACACACATATATACACACACACACGCGTGTATACGGCAATCGATAGCGATGGACTAGTTGTGCCGACTTTGAAAACTTGATTGAAAGCTTCACAAACTTGACGTGTTTTGATTTAAGCAAGATTCTGGGCAGCTCCTCTCGTTCCCTTCGTTGTTAAAGCACGACTCTCGGTTCGTTTGTCAGATGGAACGTCATTGGATCAATGACACCTAGTCCATTCCTATCTGCCTCCTCGCCGTGAATTACCGCATAATAATGTTAATTGATTTCGGTGACGGAGCGATCGTTCAATTGTGTTGTCACGAATGAATTGTCACTTAACCAAAATGTTCGGCAATATACATGCATATATATTATTACTGATATTATTTAAATAAAGCAATTATTATTATTCTTACGATTATACATTGCTGTTATCGTCGTCGAGTGTAATGTGTGCTTGGCGCCCTCTTACGTGTCGCATTCTACACCGCGCCATTTCGCCGTAATCGCGCGCTTATCGATATTAAATCATCGGTACGAGAAAGAAGAGAGATACGATATCCTTCATGGGAAAATAAATCAAAACAGCGCTCCCTTCCATTGAACGCGCAGCAGAAGCGACTCCGTAGAAGCTCGCAACGTGTCCGAGCTTCGTTGAAACACCTTATCGTTCTCATTATGGCGACATTATACCGATCTCGTAAGCGCACTTTATTTTTACTTTGTTTTACCGAGTTTCTTATCCTGCTTTCTTTATTTGCTCCCTTTCAGACCCACCTGTAGAGACAAGCGAACACGGGGATAGTTGTAAAAAGTGAGAGAAAGAAAGAAAAAAAAAAAGAACGATAAGGAAAAGAGAAAGAGATCGCGCGACACAGAAACGATAGCGGGGACACGGTCGACCTGTGACGGTTGGTGCATTTAGAAATCTCTGGAATTTAGTGCAAAAGAGGCATTAGGATTGCGAAAGTAAGTCCAAAACGTAGGCATAAGCGAGCGTGTGGGCGGAATTGCGTAACACCGCGCTGCGGAAGTGTTCCCTTCAAGAGAGCTGTCTTTGCAAGTCACATCGAGAGGAAAATCGTACTTCCGGCTGGAACTTCCGCGTTGTAGCGATTATTGTTATTATTACACACTGAGGGAGAAAATAATATCTAAAAAACAAACAGCATTTATTCGCCCTGGGTACCAATAACATATTCGTCTATACTATGGTGCAAAATATTTTTTCAAATAAGAAAATATAAATTTTTTTTTTAAATCTTGACTTCTCATGAAAGCAACTGTTTGTTCGTTTTAAAGAAGAACGAATTCAATTTAATGAAATAATTAAAATAAGTGTGTTGTTAGTACCCACCAAATAAATATGTTCTATTTTTTTTTAGATATTTCTTCTCCCAGTGCATTAGTCGTCTAAGAAGAATCGTTCTCTAATTGAGTATCCGTTATCCCTGTGAAGCCTGATCTACGATATGCTCTTTGTTTCCTGTTTCTCTATCTTTCTCTGGCTGAAGACTTAAATCCGAAGGGAATAAAGAGGAAGAAACAGGAAGCAAAGAGCACGTTATGTTAAAAGTCTGGGCTAAGATTCTCTCTCCAGGAAAGTCACTGTGTTTCTACGAACTTCGGCCTCACGTCGTAAATTATGAGTGCTCGATCTAGGACCAACTGCAGAACTTTATACACGATTTGCATGATCGAGGTGACTTGGCGGATGTCGTCGAGAAGTACGCCTCGCGATACACGAGGATCGAGGCGATCACGAACTCGAGCCCGACGTGGATCCTCATGACTCTCGACTGAGAGAGAAGACCGAACGGACGTTCCTCGAGCAGATTGCCTCGATCTACCCGATGGTGGCGGCGGCGGCGGCAGCGACGACGACGAGGGTAAAGTTATTTATTACATTTAAGTTATTTATTTTGCCCGCTACCGCATACTGCCATACATATACGCACACTTGATCGCGATGTTCCTTCGCGACGAGCATCATCCACAAAGGTGCACTCGCGAGGACTGCGTGCTCTCACCACACTGTCGTCTGTCTCTCTCTAGATCGATCCTTCAGCCGAGTCTGGGTACTTACGATAACGAGTGCAGAGCGAGTGAGAACTGGATAGTACATATTTCCATTTACAACTAATGTATTCTATGGCTGCTCTTGTTCTTTTCTGTTCTGTTTTTTATCCACAGGAACAACTGCGTAAGCACACATTAAGTAGGAAGAAGGTAATTTATCTAATTTAAAATTTATTACATTTAATTTTCAATTAGTATTAAACAGAGGGTACGGCGTATCCTATTTATTACTTATTTAAGCGCTGTATCCTCTGTTTAACTAAAAATTAAATATAATAAATTTTAAATTAGATAAATTACTGTCTTATTATTTAATGTATGCTTACGCAGTCATATTGTTTCTGTGGATAAAAGAACAGAGCAGAGCAAGAGCAGCCATAGAATGTATCAGTTGTAGATGGGAATATGCACTATCCAGTTCTCATTCGCTCTGCTCTCGTTGTCGCAAGTACCCTCTATTTTTATGTTATTTTTTTCTCCTTTTATTTCTTCTGTCTAGACTTCCGCGACTGTTCTCGCGACAGTTGTGCGCGAACTGTCGAGCGGCGGTATACTTTACTTACGCGGATCGTCTTCCCGCGTCTCGGGGTGAAATGATATGTCTGCCGTGGACGCGTTTTCCGCGCGGACGTGCGCGCAGATTTTGCGAGTGCAGAAAATGCCAAGAGAATCGCGCCGCCAAGAAGTCGATCTGAGCCGCCGACGATCGCGCGGGTCTCGATCTCTCGGCGTTCCCTGACGCGAGACTTGCCTCAATTGCCAAGTGCTAATTGTCGCAACAGGCACAAGTTTCCGTCGCGTTAGGTCGCCGCCGTTGAGACTCGACACGCCTGGTCGCTACGATCTCGTTCGTCTTGAGAAAAATCCGCCAGCATTTCCGAACGTATCGTCTCACGACACTTTAGCACTTCCGAAGTTAGCACTTGGCTGTTAGAATATTTCCCTTTTGGTTCTCGAAGAACACCTTTGGAGCCACGTATAAGAGAATTCCGTTGAGAACAAGATCACATTGTTTCAGCTGCTCTTTCTGCACTTGCAATTCTGCGCTCTCTCGCGTGATTCAGTTTTCTCGTTCGTCGTATCATTGTAGTTGAGTGCCGTGCTAGATCTATTTGTTACAAAGTCGAATATTTTCTCCTTCTTTACCCGAGGAGTGTAAGAGGTACAACCGCGCGAACGTGAGGTAACTCATGCTTAACGGCGCGGGCGATTCGCGGTGCGAAAATAATTCGGTTCCGAATTATAGATGACGAATTATAGGCGAAGCGAACGCTGAAGTGCACGAACACGAACACAATAATGTGATTGTTGAAGAGGGCATGGGAGAATACATAGTTATTGGCCTCTTGATTATGTTACGGTAATCTCTCTGTTGTCTTTTTCACCCTCAAATTTATAATCATATTTGAAAAGTGACACCTGACAATGGAACTCAACCAATGCACGAGTCATCAGAGAAGAAGTGAGAAATCTTGCTTCTTACTTTTGACTTTGCAGTTTCGATCTTTCTCAAGTTTAATTTGCTTTTCCGATGATAATTACCGGGATGTTGAGTGTCGTAAATTGAGAGACCACCAAAGGCGAGATCGCACGAACGAACGAACAAAGAGAAGTATTATTAAATTTAATTACACGCGAATCCGAAAGCAGCATTAGAATACTTCTTCGTCCCGAAGGATTAATTTCACCAACGTCGATTAACCTGAATCTTAACCTGAGTTTAAATCGTCTTTAGACGAAGACTTAAACTCACGTTGCGGTTCGATCGACGTTTAAGAAAAGACGTTGGTGGAATCGGGCCTAACACGTCATTTTCTTCTTTACGCGACTTGATTCGATTGAATCAAGGCAGATACGCGATTAGAATGTTCCACGAGGGGCCAATAACGGGTGCGCCGTAGCGAATTCAATGATACGCACAGGAAATATCGAAGAATCT